CCTCTCTGTGTTTTTACATGCAGCAGGGTTATGGATGTGACAGACTTTCATCTTGCAGTTCCCTGGCCAGGCTTGCTCCAATCTCTCTTCTCTAGCTGGCCCAATGACGTAAATATCAAGTGTAAGGTGTAAAGTGGTGGAAACAAGAAGCCTCATGGCAGCCTTGCCTAAACTGAGTTCTGGAATCTACTTTTACCAGAGGGTCTTAATGGGAACTTGCTCTACCATTACCAAGCATACAAGATGAAGTGGTGGAACCAAAATACCAGACGGGGACATGAAGGCTTTAAGTGTTCCCAAAGGTGTAGCACAAACTTTATGGTTCCAGTTGGGGGCCAATCTAAAAACAATGATTTGACCATACAGACTTCCTGGGCACCAGAGGGTAGAATGATTACTGCTATTGCAGCCAATATCCCCCTTTGATCGGGACTCTCAGCCAGGACAGTAAGCAGGCTAATTATAAGGCACAGAGCGGCCAGGTTCCACACAGGCCCTGTGGCATGGGATCAAGAGATAGCGATCCCAAATTGTGTTCTTTATCATGTGTTGAATTGCACACAGGGTCAAAGAGAGACCTACAAATAAGTTAAATTAATGTGGCTTTTACATTTTACATTAACAACTGGATCACTGGCCCACAAGAGGTAAAGTCTGACCATTGTGGTCAAGATGTAGAGAAACACACTAAGTTCACCACAGAGAGGTCAGGGGAGTGTGTGGAGATTTGGGAGTTACTTTAACAAAGATCAGGAAAAGAATAATGGAATATTTATTCTGGGGATTATTCTTTTCCTGAGTTTTGGTAAAGAAAAAAAAAGTCAGTGGAATTATCACAAACTCAAAGGTTAAGAAGGAAATGCATAACACTGTCTTCAGGAATCACCTTATTCCAGATTCAAGGAGAAACAGGAACGAAAAGTATTCTCAGTTATGAAGCAGAATAGGAAATACTTCAGTAAGAGAAAAATGAAGGGCCACACTGCTCAAGCTGGAAGATGAGAGGAATCTCCATAGGACAAAAGTTGCAATTTTAATGGCCAGGCTAAAAGAGGGCCAGGCCATCTCCAGAGGACCTGAGATGCAGAGACACTACTTACTTACAGGCAGGCAGTTAATTGTGAGAGCAACTGTGGGAGCCTCCCTCCTTGTACCTAGGGCAGCTGCCTTGGGGAGCTACACAGATGTAGACAGACATGAGAGTGGAAAATCAGTCCCGCATACACCCATCCCTACTATAATAGTTTCTCAGTAACACAGATAACTTAGGGAAGCTGGTAAGGACCACTCCCTGAGGGAACTCCATGCCCTCAGGATTCCACAGGAAGGTCCAGGAGAGGTGAGACACAGGATACTGAAGACAGTCCTGCCACAACAGCCCAGGCCCAGGCCTGATTAGATGCTGCACTGACCTCTGCACACAATCACCCAGCTGGGTCTAGCTATGGAAGCACCAGTGAGGAAAACAAGAGTATTTCCTCCTCTCACTCATGCCTCCATCTACTCTCATTACCCCCGATACTGCCAAGGGTTTGCTTGTTTTGGCTAGAATTATGTCAGAAATACACTCTGGCTTCTTAGTAGAAATGCTCTAGAGGCTGTGAGGTTGCCCTGGGCTGAAGAAGTTCCCAAGACACAGACCTTTAAAACTGGGACAAGTTGGTCACACTTGGTAAAGAGTAAAGGCCATTACTCTTTCCTCCAAAAGACCCAAGGACTAGAGTCAGCATCTGGCACTCTATTTTTGAAAGACTCCCACTGCCAATTCATAGACTAATAAAAGAGATAATAAGCATGGATTATTCAGATCATCCTTTCTATTCTGTAACTCCCAGATGATTTAGAAATGGCATATAAAAGTAATTAAAAGGTGCCTTATTGGTTATACATCTTTTTTTGTTTGTTTTTTGTTTTCTTTTGAGACAGAGTCTCACTCTGTCACTCAGGCTGGAGTGCAATGGGGCAATCTCTGCCCACTGCAAGCTCCACCTCCCGGGTTCACGCCATTCTCCTGCCTCAGCCTCCCGAGTAGCTGGGACTACAGGTGCCCACCACCAAGCCCAGCTAATTTTTTTTTGTATTTTTAGTACAGATGGGGTTTCGCCATGTTAGCCAGGATGGTCTCGATCTCCTGACCTCGTGATCCACCCACCTCAGCCTCCCAAAGTGCTGGGATTACAGGCGTGAGCCACAGCACCCTGCCATGTTATACATCTTAATCAAACAGTAGTCTATTTATATAGAAAAGGAAGATAAATATCTCCTTCTAAGGGATGGGTTTTGGATATGAATTCAGGGCAGATGTGTGCTTTCTAGGAGGCCTGCTTCACTTTACAGGTCTGCACCAGGTCATCCTTTTTAGGAGGATGCTCAAGTTAAAAGAGGCTAAGGACATATGACAATCAAATACAGTGTAGGATCTCAGACTGGATCCTAAACATTAGCGGGACAATTAGTGAAATTTGAATAAGGTCTGTAGATTACACAATAGAATTGTATCAATGTCAATTTCCTGGTTTTAACAAGTGTACCATCATCATCTAAGATGTTCACATCTGGGGAAGCTAGGTGAAGGGCATAAGGAAATTTGTACTAGTTTGCAATTTTTTGTAAATCTAAAATTATTTCAAAACAAGAAACTTTTTAAAAAGAGCCTCTTTCAGGGGCTGGGCACAGTAACTCAGGCCTGTAATCCCAGCACTTTGGGAGGCCGTGGCAGGTGGATCCATTGAGCTCAGGAGTTCAAGACCAGCCTGGGCAACATGGCAAAACTCTGTCTCTAAAATAAATAAATTTAAAAAAAAATTAGCTGGATATGGTGAAGCTCCTGCCTGTAGTCCCAGCTACCCAGGAGGCTGAGATGGGAGGATCACCTGAGCCCAGAGGTCGAGGCTGCAGTGAGCTGTGACTGCACCACTGCACACACTCCAGCCTGGGCAACAGAGTGAGACCTTGCCCCCCCCAAAAAAAAAATCCTCTTCCCCCAAAAATTCTGTAATTTCCTAACACATACACACAAAAACTCATACACATTAAAAATTACAGTTTTTGATTCACACATGACATGAGACTTATTGTGTGCTTGTAACCATTAAAACAAAGGTTTATTGCTTATAAAAACAGAAGGCTAGAGACAATTTAACTGATAGATGAGAAACAGGCTTAGTACAGCTGTCATGCAAGCCATGACAAATATATCTATTTGAGCAACAATGATTTTTCACCTCCAAGCACAGTACTAGGCACATAATTAAAACTCTAATAGTTAATAAAAGAATGAATCCACATGATGATTATATAAGCATTTTCAAAGATGTTTAAGAAGAATCTGATCCACAAAAATGCTAAATGAGAAAATGTAAGGTGGAAAGAAAAAGCAAAAGTATGAAGTAATATGACATTATCACCCCAATTATGTAACACTACTACCCTAATTTTGTGTACATTCATATACACAAAAATACAAAAATTAGGAAGAAATGCATCAAAATGTTATTACATGTGGCAAAACTACAGATTTTAATTTTCATCCTTATACTTTTCTCTGTCTTCCAAAGGTGTCTACAGTGAAAAAAGTTGGCCAGGCGCGGTGGCTCACGTCTGTAATCTCAGCACTTTGGGAGGCCAAGGTGGGACGATTACCTGAGGTCAGGAGTTGATGACCAGCCTGGCCAACATGGTGGAACCCCATCTCTATTAAAAACACAAAAATTAGCCGGGCATGGTGGCGGGCGCCTGTAATCCCAGCTACTCGGGAGGCTGAGGCGGGAGAATCGCTTGAACCCGAGAGGCGGAGGTTGCAGTGAGCAGAGATTGTGCCACTGCACTCCAGTCTGGGTGACAGAGCAAGACTTCGTCTCAAAAAGAAAAGAAAAAGAAAAGAAAAAAGTTTAAATGGGTTTAAGTGCACATACACCCCAATTTACCAAGCCTTTTCTATGCCCTTCCATTATTTTAGAGCTTTCAAATTTCATTCATCTGCAACTCTACGATTCTTTCAGCAACAGCTGTTCAGAACAGATGATTTACTTTCCACATTGAATTTTAAACTGTTTATCATGCAGAATGGGCCCTTAGAAAACATCTAGTCCTCTAGATTTGTATGACTTTAAATTAAAAGTCGACACTACAAAGTGGATTTAACCGCTTTAAACCCCACGGGATTAAACTCCGCAGGATTTAAGGCAATATGATACAACTGTGTCCTGAGTCTGAATAAACCTCAGCTGCACTTTTTAAGTCTGGGATCTCCATACACCGTTTTGTTGGAATACAAGGTTTTACAGAAGGCAGCGCACACCAATGCTGGTGCTGTGAAGGCACCCAGAAAATCAGACGCTGCCTGTAGGGGAGAACCCCATTCCATCCACGTTTCTCAGGTGTCCCAGGTACCAGCCAGACAGGTATCTATTATTTAAACTGCACAGTATGTCCCAGTCAAAAGCCTGGAAACCCAATCACCTCGATGTGAGCATTATCCTGCAAGCCCGCTCCGGCCAAACCCGCTTGGAGACAGCCTTGCCCGCCCTGATCCCCGGACTGCCCAGGAAGCAAGAATCCCGGGACCCCGAGCTGGCCCTTCTTAAAACCACCCTTCACTCCACTCCGCCAACCACCCCACTCACTGCCTCCTTCCCCAGAGCGCTGAGGCCCCTAACATGCCCCATCCTGACTCCACCAGCCCCAAATTTCAGCCTCATCGCGCGTCTCTCAGGACTCAAACCCTCGCCCCAGACCCATATTCCCTCTATAAACCTCTCCCCTCCCCTGCGACGTCCACTACCCGCAACACCTTCACTCATCCCTGCCCCCACAGCCTCCGCGCCTATCCTGGTCCCACTTCCCATCCCCAGGGGTCCCGGCACCGGGAGGCGGCCCGGGAACGCAGGGCGGCGGCCGGGAGGAACTCCTGGAGCCTGCAGTGGCCGGGGCTCTGTCGCTGCACGGAGCCGGGCACTGCCGCCGACAGCTGGGGGTCCGAGGTGCCCTTCCCCACTCACCGGCCGCCGCAGCGCTCCACGTCTTCGGGTGCTGGCCAGAGAGCCGGCGAGAACCGGAGGCCGGGCAAAAGAGCGCCGGGTGCGGGGGGCGGGCCAGGCCAGTGGGGCGGATGCTGCCGAGCGCTGGGCGTGGCGGACGCGGCGGGGCCTAGACGCGGTCACACGCAGAGGGGGCGGGGCCGCGGCGGGAGAGGCGGGGCCTCACTGGGCGGTCGCTCCGGGAGGGGCGGAACCGCGGTGGGAGGGGCGGGGCCTCACTGGGCGGTCGTCGTGGACGAGAACCCAGACTGGAACCGGTCCGAAGAAACAAAAGGCAGCCCTGATTGGGCTGTCGCCTGGAACGGAGCCCAGGCCGGGAGAAAGGGAGGGGCGTACCTAACGTACTGTAGCACCCTTCGAGATCCGGAAGGCAGCGGGAGAGGCGGGGCCGAGAAGGGAGAGGACTGGTTGGGCTGTCACCCGGAGCCGAGGCGGCACGCCGCTGGACTCTCCAACCCAGAGCGGTCGGGGCGGGGGAAAGGAATACGCCCCTTCACATTTCCCTCTTCCATCTCTTAAAGACCAGAACCTAATTTTCTGGTCACTTTCAGGTATAAGAACAAGTCTCATTTTAACTGTAGCTCACTTTCAAGTTGTGAAAAACGCAGATCCTTTTATAATTAAAACCTAACATCCAACCACAGCCAAATCCCTTTCGGTGGTTTATAGGGTTTCCCAGTCCCTTACCTCTATGAAAACCTCTTTTACTCTCCTACTTGCTCCTCACCAGCCACACTGGTACCCTTGTTCCTCCTAGAACTCGCCAGACACTTTTCCACCTCCAGGTCCAGGGTCTTTGCCCCAGCCATTCCCTCTGCCCAGAAAGCTCTTCCCTCGGATAGCTGCTTGGCTCACTTCCTCACCTCCCTTGGTTTCTGCTGGGCTTTCACTTTCTCCCTGAGGCCCTTTCTGACCATCCTACTTAATACCTGTTCTCATCTCCTCCCCACCCCACCATTTCCTTACCTGCTCTCCTATTTCTTTTGTCCACCACGCTTATTGACTTTTTGTTGTTGTTGTTTTGAGATAGAGCCTCGCTCTGTCACCCAGGCTAGAGTGCAGTGGCGCAGTCTCGGCTCACCGCAACCTCCGCCTCCCAGGTTCAAGCGATTCTCCTGTCTCAGCCTCCCGAGTAGCTGGGATTACAGGCGCGCACCACCACGCCCAGCTAATTTTTGTATTTTTTGTAGAGACAGGGTTTCACCACGTTGGCCAGGCTGGTCTTGAACTCCTCACCTCAGGTGATCTGCCTGCCTCCGCTTCCCAAAGTGCTGGGATTACTGGCGTGAGCCACTGCACCTAGCCGGTTTTAAGTGTTTTTAGTTACCCAGGGTCTACCACAGTCTGAAAATAGGTGAGGCCAGAACAATAAGATATTGGGGGAGAGAGAGAGACCATATTCACCTTTTATTACAGTCTATTTTTATAATTTTTCTATTTTATTATTATTCATTGTTGTTAATCCCTTACTGTACCTAATTTATAAATGAAACTTTATCATAGTATGTATGTATGTGTAGGAAAAAACATAGTATACATAGAGTTTTATACTATCCTCAGTTTCAAGCATCCGCTGGGGATCTTGGAATGTATCTCCCACAGATAATGAAAGATTACTAATCCCAATGTTTAGAACAGTGTTAGGTCCATAGTAGACAAGCAATAACTCCGAAATGAAAAATTTAAAAAAAATGAATGAACCCTTTCTGCCTCCATACATCCAGCTTTGGCCAGATCAATGCCTCAATAAACTGTAGTGGGGAGAAGGCTGGTCTGTTCTTTACTCCCCACCCTTTTCTGGGTCTTCCAGGTTCCAGCCAGGAGGCAGGGAGACTAAAAGAAAGGAGCAGAAGACTAATTACTTGGTAGGAGCAGTTTGTCACTCATTCTAGACCCCTGATGCTATCATGGCAGCTCACAACATTATTAACCAGTTCTCGTGCGGCTATCTTTTTGTAGGTCCTGTGTGGTTATGTCCAGAGGTTCTGTCTTCTGAAAATCAGGACAAATTATTTATGAACTTCAATAAGTTTAGACATGAATTACTCCTTAGACTTTTGTTTTTAAATCGTACTCTTCCTGTCTTCTAATCCTTCAACTTATGGCCATCCTCCATATAACTTTATTTTCTTATATTTATGTGGCTGGAGGAATGAGGAAAAAACTGAATGGGAATATAAACCTCCTTTTCTCTTGGATAATCTTATTTCACCTCCACAATTAACAAAGTAAAACTTTCTGTTAAGTATAGCAGATTGTTGGACAACATAAATGGCAAAACTGAGTTAATAACATAGATCCCTATATAATAGTCCCCTTTATCCACTTCTCAATACCCCTACTGGATGCCTGAAACCACAGATAGTACTGAACCCTGTATATATTATGTTTTTTGACCTGATAGCCTAGATGGCCACTAAGTGACCAACAGGTATGTAGCATTGATATAGTTTGGATTTGTGTCACTCAAATCTCATGTTGAATTGTAATCTCCAGTATTGGGGGTGGGGCCTGGTGGGAGGTGATTGGATCATGGGGGTAGATTTCTCATGAATAGTTTAGCACCATCCTCTTGATGCTGTCCTCGAAATAGTGAGTGACTTTTCACAAGATCTGGCTGTTTAAAAATGTGTGGCATCTTGCTCTCTCTCTGTTGCTCCTGCTCTGGCCATGTGATATGCCTGCTCCCCCTTCACCATCTGCCATGATTTTAAGTTTCCTGAGGCCTTCCCAGAAGCCAAGCGGATGCCAGCATCATGCTTTCTGTACAGCCTGCAAAACCACGAGCCAATTAAACCTCTTTGCTTTACAGATTACCCAGTCTCAGTTATTTCTTTATAGCAACTTGAGAATGGACTAATACAAGGACCTACAGTATGGATACACTGGACAAAGAGATGATTCACATCGCCGGAGGGATGGAGTAGGACAGTGTGAGATTTCATCACAATACTCAGAATGGCACACAATTTAAAACTTATGAATTGTTTATTTCTGGAATTTTCCATGTAATGTTTTCTGCCCTCGGTTGACTGAAGGTAACTGAAAACATGGAAAGAGAAACTGTGGCTAAGGGGAACAATTGTATCAATTACCTATGACTGCATGTCAAACAATTACACAGAATTAGGGATTCCTTTCTCCACTTGTCTCTTTTTGGGTATTTCCTCCATGTTCTCTCTGGCTTCCAAGAGTCCCTTTTCCCAACTCCTCTGTCCAGAAGAACAGGTTTTTCTCCCAGGTGACTGTGTCACTGTACCACTGCAGGGCAGATCCCTGACTGGGAATGGCTTCAGGGAAAGGGAGGGAGAGAAAAAAGGAATCAGCAGTTTCCACCACTTTCTCTAGCTTGCAGTAGCCTTTTTTCCTGGTCCTGTGGCTACATGGTCAGGCTTCTCTTGGACATTTTGCTGATAGTGTCTGGTTGACAATTCCCAATTCATCTATCCTTGGATCAAAGCCAAGAGATAGAGGAGAAAAAATAAAAACAGGAATCTCACTACTCCTATATTTGTCTTTCTTCAGGCTTTGAGTTTCCTGCCATCACGATCCACCTGCTATTATTTACTTTTCAGAGTCCTTGGATAGTTGTTCTTTGTATATTATTTAGAGATTTTAGTAGTGATCAATCAGTAGGAGACATGGGCGGCAGTGGACTTACTCTATTTTGCTCAGAAATGGAGCTCATCAATCTAATAGATGAAAAAACATTTTAAGTCATATTTTTCTTATGAAGAGTGAGTTTGAGAGCATCTTCTCAGGTTAAAGAGACATTTGTCTTTCATTTTCTGTGAATTATCTATTTACATATATTGTCTAATTTTCTATGTATAGAAACTCTTTATATAATAGTACAGTCCTTTATCTTAGATATGATTGTCAAAACTTTTCCTCAGTTTGTCATGTCCTTTGATTTCTCTTATGCTATTTTCTTTGTTTGTTTTTGTTTTTGTTTATTGGTCATGAAAACTTCTATTTCTAACTGGTCAATTTTACCAGGCTTTTCTTTTACTACTTACTATTTCTGGGTTGTATCGTACTTAGAAAGACCTACACCTCTCTCTCTCTTCAATTACTTTTTTTTTTTTTTTTAAACAGGTCTAGCTCTGTTGCCCAGGCTAGAGTGCAGTGGCATGATCTAGACTGACTGCAACTTCTACCTCACAGGTTCAAGTGCTTCTCCTGCCTCAGCCTCCCAAGAAGCTGGGACTACAGGCGTGAGCCACCACACCCAGCTAGTTTTTGTATCTTTAGTAGAGTCGGAGTTTCACCATATTGGTCAGGCTGGTCTCAAACTCCTGACCTGAAGTGACCCACTCACCTCGGCCTCCCAAAGGGCTGGATTTACAGGCATGAGGCCACCACCGCTTACCCAATTACTTTTTAAATTCTTCCATGGTTTCTTGTTTACATCTCATATGTTATGTTCTTTTACTTTTTTTTTTTTTTTTTTTTTTTAGACTGAGTCTCACTGTATCACCCGGGCTGGAGTGCAGTGGCATACTCCTGGCTCACTGCAACCTCTGCCTGCCAGGTTTAAGCAATTCTCGTGCCTCAGCCTCCCGAGTAGCTGGGATTACAGGCATGTGCCACCACGCCTGGCTAATTTTTATATTTTTTTAGTAGAGACCGGGTTTCACCATGTTGGCCAGGCTGGTTTTGAACTCCTGACCTCAAGTGATCCCTCCCAAAGTGCTGGGATTACAGGCATGAGCCACAGCGCCTGGCCATGTTCTTTACTTTTAAAATTTGACCAATCAGGAATTTATTTTGATGTGAGGTAAGTGGAATGGATCCAACTTTATATCTTGATAGCTGCACATTTTTCCAACCCCATTTCATTAATAATCCATATTTCCCCCTACCGATTTTAAATGCCACCATTATCATATACTAAATTTCCTTCCCTATTTATGAACTTTCTATTCTATCTTATTAATCTGTTGGTTTATCACTGTACCAGAATCATAAGATTTTAATTTTTGAATCTTCATAATACTTCATTCTTTATCTTTAAACTCTACAATACAATCAGAAAAGTCAACCCACCCCCCCACCCAGAGGTTCCTGTATCTCGAATTGCCTTCATAACCACCTACAATAGCAACCGCTGAAGACTCACTGT